CATTCAACATCATACTTAATACTGAATGGGTATATCTTTTATATTGGTGTATTATATCTTTTGTTTGTAGTACCAAACAAAATTAACTCAACAGCTTCTATTATTCCTCTCAATTCACCATATAAAGTTGGTAGTGATATTACTCTTAACTGCTCAATTAGTTACCACAAACCATCATACATTGATATAGACACTGTTGTCAACATTAGTTGGATCAATAATGAAGATGATATTCTTAACAGTAGTACAATAGCTATAAAAGATTACACTGAATATAATTTCCAGTATCATCTAACTAATATTCACTTATCAAATGCTGGGCAATACAAGTGTAGTAATACTCATCACACTCAACAAGAATATAATTTTATTCAAAGCAGTGAGAGTCAATACAAATACATTAACATTACTGCTATTAGTAAGTAATTTTTATGGTGAGATAACTAATACTTATTTGTTACTTTAGTTCCAATCAACAGTACATCACTTGTGCTCAAACCTACAGAATCCTATTATGAAGTTGGTACTAAAGTCACTCTCTCTTGTAAAGTTACTGAGCCTGACTCACCACTGGTTAATGTTGATACTACAGTGAATATTAAATGGAGCCCTAATAAAAATTTTCCACAATATTCTTATCACTCGTACAATAAATACTTCAATTATACTCTCACTAACATAAAACTATCTGATGCTGGAGAATACAGTTGTACATATTATCTCACTAGTACCCCTAATGATCATTATATTAAACCAAGTGGTGTCGGTATAGGGGTCTCTAATGTCACAATTAAAAGTGAGTTTTATGTTTGGGTTATTATTTTCAATTGATTTTTTTCTAGTTCCAAAAAGTAATGATCCATCAATTACTCCATTAAATTCATATTACAAAGTTGGTCACAACGTAAACCTTGCATGCTCTATCCCTATTCTTAACTATTTTTTACTTGATATTGACATTAAAGTGAACATGCAATGGCTCAATTCCTCTAATCACACTCTACACTCATATACTGGTATCAATAATAATACTGAACACACTATCAGCTACACTATCAATAATGTGTCATTATCTGATGCTGGACAATATACTTGCCAGTACAATATATCAAGTACTAATCATTCATTTGTCCTACCCAGTGATGACATGAGTGCTTCAACTAATGTTTTCATTAAACGTAAATTATTCTTGCCTTTAGTCGTATATTTTCTGTTTTTTTAGTTCCTAATGACAAGGTTCCAGTAATGCATCTCATTCCTCATCAGTCTGTGTATGATGCTGGTAGTGACATTACCCTCTCATGTTCTGTCACTTATCCATACTCTTCCTACATTGATTTTGATGTCAATACTAATTTGACTTTACAATGGTTCAATTCATCTAATCACACTCTTAACTCCAGTACCATTATCAATGACTATAATGGACACACTCTTACCTACACTATTAGTAATGCAAGACTATCTGATGCTGGGCAATATACTTGCTCCTTCTTCATTAATACCAGTGTCCCTTATATAGTTAATAGCAATGCTACCAGAAATTTTACCAACATTAATATAAAAAGAAAAAGCAGGCATTATTTTTTCTCTATTTTTATGTCTA